GGTGGCGCCGGGCCCCGGGGCGGGGGGCGCGCCGGGATGGGCCCCAAGAGGCGGCAGCTGACGTTCCGGGAGAAGTCGCGGATCATCCAGGAGGTGGAGGAGAACCCTAACCTGCGCAAGGGCGAGATCGCGCGGCGCTTCAACATCCCGCCGTCCACGCTTAGCACAATCCTGAAGAACAAGCGCGCCATCCTGGCGTCGGAGCGCAAGTACGGTGTGGCCTCCACCTGCCGCAAGACCAACAAGCTGTCCCCCTACGACAAGCTCGAGGGGCTGCTCATCGCCTGGTTCCAACAGATCCGTGCCGCTGGCCTGCCAGTGAAGGGCATCATTCTCAAGGAGAAGGCTCTGCGGATAGCAGAGGAGCTGGGCATGGACGACTTCACTGCCTCCAACGGCTGGCTGGACCGCTTCCGCCGGCGCCACGGAGTAGTGTCCTGCAGTGGCGTGGCCCGCCCCCGCTCGCGCAGCACTGCTCCCCGGGCCCCAGCAGCGCCCTCCGGTCCACCTGCGGTGCCCTCGGAAGGCAGCGGCGGAGGTACGACGGGCTGGCGCGCTCGGGAAGAGCAGCCACCGTCGGTGGCCGAGGGCTACGCCTCCCAGGACGTGTTCAGCGCCACTGAGACCAGTCTATGGTACGACTTTCTGCCTGATCAGGGCGCGGGGCTGTGTGGCAGCGATGGACGGGCGCGCAGGGCCACCCAGCGCTTGAGTGTGTTGCTGTGCGCCAACGCCGACGGCAGCGAGAAGCTGCCCCCGCTGGTGGCAGGCAAGTCAGCCAAGCCCCGTGCAGGCCAAGCCGGCCTGCCCTGCGACTACACAGCCAACTCTAAGGGTGGTGTCACCACCCAGGCCCTGGCCAAGTACCTGAAGGCCCTAGACACCCGCATGGCAGCAGAATCTCGCCGAGTCCTGCTACTTGCGGGCCGCCTGGCTGCCCAGTCCCTGGATACCTCGGGCCTGCGTCATGTGCAGCTGGCCTTCTTCCCTCCGGGCACCGTGCAGCCGCTGGAGCGGGGCGTGGTCCAACAGGTGAAGGGCCACTACCGCCAGGCTATGCTGCTCAAGGCTATGGCGGCGCTAGAGGGCCAAGATCGTTCTGCCCTGCAGCTGGGTCTTATGGAGGCCCTGCACTTTGTGGCCGCAGCGTGGCAGGCAGTGGAGCCTTCGGACATAGCTGCCTGCTTTCGTGAGGCTGGCTTCGGGGGTGGCCCAAATGCCACCATCACCACTGCCCTCAAGAGCGAGGGGGAGGAAGAGGAGGAGGAGGAAGAAGAGGAGGAGGAAGAGGAAGAGGAGGGAGAAGGGGAGGAGGAGGAGGAAGAAGAAGGAGAGGAAGAGGAGGAAGGAGGGGAAGGGGAGGAATTGGGAGAGGAAGAGGAGGTGGAAGAGGAGGGTGACGTTGATGACAGTGATGAAGAGGAGGAGGAAGAGGAGGAAGAGAGCTCCTCTGAGGGCTTGGAGGCAGAGGACTGGGCCCGGGGGGTAGTGGAGGCTGGTGGCAGCTTTGGAGGCTATGGTGCCCAGGAGGAGGCCCAGTGCCCCACCCTCCATTTCCTGGAAGGTGAGGAGGACTCTGAATCGGACAGTGAGGAAGAGGACGACGATGACGATGATGACGACGATGATGATGAAGATGATGAGGATGAGGAGGATGGTGATGAGTTGCCTGTGCCCAGCTTCGGGGAGGCCATGGCTTACTTCGCTATGGTAAAGCGGTATCTGACCTCCTTCCCCATTGATGATCGTGTGCAGAGCCACATTCTGCACTTGGAACATGACCTGGTCCATGTGACCAGGAAGAACCATGCCAGGCAGGCAGGAGTTCGGGGTCTTGGACATCAAAGCTGAGCCATTGGGCCTAGCCATACCCTCGACCCAGATGTGGCAGCACCAGCCCAGGGCAAAGGACTCTTTGGGCAGCTGCTGTGGTTGGAGCCAGAGTGGGAAGCCCCAGATCCTTTAGTGATGTTCACCAGGCCCTGTGAACAAGCCCAGTCACCTTGGCCGGGCCCGGGCTTAGGGTCAGCCTCACTGCCTGCTTATTGCCTCTTTCTCAGAGTCCTATTTCCTCCCCATTTGCCCCTGGGCTTGGGGGACCAGGTGGGGAGCTGTCCGGTGCTACCACACCATGCCATCAGTGGACTAGGCCACAGCAGCCTCCAGGGATGGACCCTGGAAGCTCCCGGCCAGAGAGTGCCTCTCCCCTCTGCCGTCTACACCAGGTTTCGGTGGGGGGAACCCCAAAGCCATTCTGGGAAGGGCTTCATAGGAAGGTCCAGCCTAGGCCCCCACAAGGCTGGCAGCCCCCCATCCCTGCCCCCAGACCACTTCCAGAAGCACAGTCTAACTCACTGCAGGCTTTTGAGCCTGCCTCTTGCCTGCTTTCCCACCCCTGATCCCTTTCTTTGGCCCAGCCCATGTTACTTTGGCCCTCCGTTTTCTTTCAGGATTGGAGGTTCCCAAGAGACCTTCCAGGGGAGTGAAAATGGGTGTTTCTTTCCCTTGTGGGCATCTGCAGGCCCTGTGCCTCTCCTTCTCTGGCAGGGTCCTATCCTGGGCAGGGGGCCTGGGGCTGGGCCCAGAGTCCAGCTGTCCAGCTGCTCCTTTCCCAGTACGAATTCAATAAATCTGTCCACCCCCCTTTTTGTGAGGGTGAACGTTTTAACAGCCAAGGGTGCATCCTTCATAGTCTGGGCTTGCGTCTGTTGGGGACATGTCCTTTCCTGGTTCCCTATGGTTCTCGCTTTGGTGGGACATGAAAGCAAGTGTTGAGAGACTGGCCACGGGCTAGGCCCTAACTAGGATGAGGGGCCACCTCCATGTCTAAATGCTCTCTAGACTTGGGGAGGTAGGTGTCTTGCGTGCACCTGCCTGGGTATGGATGGGTTTGAGGAAGCCAGGCCTTGCACTGCTTTGGGGCTAGAGAGAAGCTTGGGGTCAGTTGACTGGGACAGGAGGGAGGGAGCCAACTGTCTGTTGGGCTAAATTAAATTATAGGCACCTGGGAACTAGGTTTATCAAGGCTCATTAATGAAGGTGGTTGCAGGAGTGAGGACCGAGAGGCAGAAAGAAAGGAATGTTAGGGTATCCCTTGGTTTACCCTTGGGGCTTTAAGAGGAAGTCCTTTAGGCCTTTCAGTGATGGGCATCTCCAAGCCTAGTGGCTATCAGCAGGGACAGTGGCAGGAGAAAGATGATATTACTGGGGAGAGATTGCATCTCCAAGAGGCTGAAGATGAATTAGCAACTCCTTGTGTAGTGTCCTCCAGGGGGGCTCCCAGTTCAAAGGTGAAGACAGGCCCCTCACTGATCCTACCCCCTTTCTCCTTTTAGGCCAGCCCTGGCTTCCTGGTCCTCCAGCATTGAGACCTTCAAGCCCCAGTGGTTCCAGCCAGGGGAGAGCCCCAAACCGGTTTTCCCACCTTGACTAGGGCTGGCACCCAGGTGGTTCCCTCCTCCCCACCTCCTGCTACTTCCTTTCTCCACCCTGGAATGTTAGGGGGTGGGGGGTGGTATCCAGGTAATCTTTTGTCTTTTGCCTGCCCTGGGTGAGGTCCCCTTTAGAAAGGCAAGGGCACTACAGATGAGTGTTTTCAATGTAGTGATTTTATTTCTTTTAAAAATGTATTTATTGTTAGACAGAGGGGAAGGGAGAGAAACACCAATGTGTGATTGCCTCTCACATGCCCCCAACTGGGGACCTGGCCTGCAACCCAGGCATGTGCCCTAGGCTGGGAATTGAACTGGTGATCCTTTGGTTTGCAGGCCAGTAGCACTCAATCCACTCAGCCACACCAGCCAGGCCTGATTTTATTTTTAAAAGATTTTATTCATTTATTTTTAGAGAGAGGAAGGGAAGGAGAAAAAGAGAAGAAGAAACATTGATTGGTTTCCTCTTGTCTGCATCTGGGTCAGGGACTGAAACTGCAACCCAGGCATGTGCCCTGACCTGGAATTGAACCTGGTGACATTTTTTGTTTTTGGAATGACGTCCAGCCAACTGAGTCATGCCAGTCAGGGCTAATTTAGTGATTTTAGTGAGAGAGAAGGGAGAGAGAGAGAAACATCTATTTGTTTTACATATTTATGCACTCATTGGTTGATTCTCGTATGTGCCCTGACCAGGGATTGATTGAACCTTCGACCTTGACATATTGGGATGACTTTCTAACCAACTGCCTAGCCAGGGCCATTATATATGACTTAAAAACAAAGGATAGAGTCACCATCCCACCCTTGGCTTTCTGCATTCCTGGCACACAGGGATGTCTTCTAGGCCTTGAAGGCTTCAAGACTTAAGTGACCACAAAAAGCAACAGGGATTCATTCCCCTTACCATCGCCCTCACCCCCATCTGTGCCCTGGAGAGGAGACCGGAAAGTCCTGAGGAAGCCCAGCCTACCTCCTGGCCTGCTCTGGAGTAAGGAGGTGGGAGCAGTAGTCTTCTCCCTGGGTGCCCCTGGTCAACCTCAAATAACAAGGCAAATCCCTTCCATTTGTTTCCTGCTTACAAGAACACCTTTTGCCGCAGCGGAGATCATCTTGTTATCCGTAACACAGGCAGATGTTAAATAGGGCTCTCGCCACATGTCGGGCACTGTGCTAAGCATGTTAGATGCTCATGAAACCTCTAAAAGTAAAACCATGAGAAAACAGGTACAGAGAGATCCAGTAATGTGCCTGAAGCTACACCACTAGTGTGGAAGCAAGGGTTCTCCCCAGGATGACCCTAGAAGTAGCCCTTTACTAAGGAAAGACCCATCTTCCTAATCCTAAATGTAGTCCTCTTGAAATGGAACTGGTTAACGAAATCAATCTCTAATCCATGGAAGTGTAGAGGAATAGCTCTCTGGAGGGAAATGAGAGGTGTGGAGGTGTACACAGGAGTTCTTACAGCTCTTACACCTATAAGCATCTCCTGTTCCAGAAGGCCCTTCCCCCCGCCCCCCCCCCCACAGGTTTTCTGTAAATACCATTCTCCTCCCCATTAGCCCATTGGGACCAATAAGTGAGAACCATCTGCATTTCACAAAGTGGGTAGGAGGATTAACGAGTTAAAAGACCTGCCCAAGACACTGGCCTTGAGCTGTGGTATCCCTGGGAGCCTGGGTTACATATTAAATGCCCCCACATAACAATGCAGGGAAGAGGGCGTGGTGATGGGCCTATGAACTCAAAGTTTAGTGGAGGGAGGAGCCACTATCACAGTCCAGATAGAAAGTAGCAGATGCCTTCGTTTGGGACTGATCGTTAATGGGTCTAGGTGGGGGATCCCAGACCGGGGAAGCTGGTTCAGGGGTTCTGGAGGCTCGGCTGGCTTTGTCAGGACCCAGAGTGAGCCAGTGGCTGGTCAGCAGGGCGCGTGGGCGAAAAGGATTTCTTCCTGGGAGGCGGGGAAGACAAGGCCACCTTTATCGCCTTTTCAAATCTGGGGCCTGAGAAGAGGTAACGGGGTAAACTACAACTCCCAGAAGCGTCTGCTCCCCGAAGACAAGACGGTTGTCATGGTTTCAGAAAACAATATGGCCGCTCCCAGCTGGGAGGGGAGTCTCCGGATTAAAGAGCCTGAGGCAAATCTGGGCGCCGGCAGCGGCAAGGGAGGAGGCGCTTGAGCGGTCGAGAGTTTGAGACAGGACGCTGTACGGCTGAAACGACTTGCCTTTGCTGAGGGCGCCAATGGCGGGCAGCGTGGACGAGGAGGCGCTGCACCAGCTGTACCTGTGGGTAGACAACATCCCTCTGTCCCGGCCAAAGCGAAATCTATCCCGGGACTTCAGTGACGGAGGTGTGCGCCCGTGTATGTCCCCACGTTCTGTCCTGTATGTACGTGTGTAAGAGGGTCTTTGTGCAAACACGTCTTTATACTTGTGTGTGTGTGGGCTGTGTATGTTTGGGGGGGGATGCCTGTCCCCTAGGACTTAAGTTGTACGAGTGTGTCTAAGTGTGAGAGTCTGTGACTTTCTCCTGGGACTTAATGACTAAGATGTGTATCAATGTATACATCTTTGCATCTCTGCGTGTGTGCATTCACATTGCTATATTTTGTATGTTTGTCTATGGGAGTCTGAATGTGTGTGTATTCATGTGTGTATTGTCACATCCTGTCCTGTATGTATGTAGGGGGGTCTTGTGTGAATATGTGTTGCTTTGTGACTGTGCAGGTGTCTGTGTTTCTAAGACTGTCTCCTGAGATTTTAATGTGTGACTCTATGTGCTTGTGTGTGTGTGTGTTGGTGACTGTCTCTTGGAACTACAGTGATGGAAGTATGTGTATGTGTTTGTCCATCTTTGTGTGTCTGTGTACGTAGTGTATGTGTTATATATGTGCCTGTGTGTGTCTGGGCATATGTGCCTGCAGTCTGTCCCATGTGCATATCTTTAGAGGTATCTCTTTTTTAAAAAATATTTATTTATTTTTAGAGAGGGGATAGGGAGGTAGAGAGAGAGAAAGAAACATCATGTGTGAGAGACAGGTCAATCTATCGCCTCTCACACACCCCCAGTGGGGCACTTGACCTGAAGCCTAGGCATGTGCCCTGACTGGGAATTGAACCTGTGACCCTTTCGGTTCACAGGCCGGCGCTCAGTCCACTGAGCCACACCAGCCAGGGCTAGAGGGATCTTATTACATTGTCTGTTTTCGTGAGTCTAGGACTTTCTCCTGGGACTTTGGTGTTGCAGTATGTGTATGTGCCCAGATAAATGCGTAGGGTGGAGTCCCAGGATCTTGAAGGGCTCCCTTGGAGATTCATTCTCTATTAGAGCACCAGAGACCACAGTTTTCAAGTGTCCTGAGTTAATGTGGAGGGGATACAGCCCCTCTGGGGTATGCTGGAGGCTTAGTCTCCAGCAGATCACTGACCTCACTTCCTTGACTCTACCCCCTCCGTACCATACCGCCCCTCCCTCCCTATCACCCTTTCTCTTTCCACATTTCCACCTCTCCACCTCTCTGCCACCCCTGGTTCTCCCTTCCCACCCACTTCTTCTCCCTTCCCCTACCTCTTTTCCCATCCCCCCATCTTCCATGTCTCCTCCTACTCCCACTCCCTCAGTCCTGGTTGCAGAAGTCATCAAGTTTTACTTCCCCAAGATGGTGGAGATGCACAATTATGTCCCTGCCAATTCTCTCCAGCAGAAGCTCAGCAACTGGGGTCACCTGAACAGGTAGTAGAATATATGGTTGCATTAACAGGATCTCCAGTTCCTACCCTGGGCTCCCAGGAAGGGCTGCTTCAGCCCTTCCACCTCCTACCGTCTCCACAGCCTGGGCTGGGACTGTGCTGATAGCAGGGTGCGGAAGGGCAATGCAACCGGAATTGTTTGGGAACAAAAATCAAGGGATTCTTTTATTGGGGAGGTGACAAGATGACTTGGGACAACCAAGAACAGGGCTCAGGTGTGGTACCCTTCCATTCCTTCAGGGCTGCACACTTAGTCCAGCAACTGTTGCACCCCCCTGACCCCCCGCCACCCACACACTTCATTTCCTAAGGACCTAGTCTTCTGTGCCCCTGTCTACCCCCCAGGAAGGTGCTGAACAAGCTGAACTTCTCAGTACCAGAGGATGTGATGCGCAAGATCGCACAATGCACCCCAGGCGTGGTGGAGTTGGTGCTCATTCCGCTGAGACAGCGCCTGGAAGAGAGGCAGAGGCCCAGGAAGCAGGGCTTGGGCTCCTTACAGGTGCCACCCTACTCCGGCTTCTCTCACTGCTCTGGGGGAGCTTTCCAGGCTGCGGAAAGCCCCCACCTTGGTGACAAGTGTGGAAGAGGGTGCCTGCTTAAGGGGAGCCTGACCTCGGGGACAGTGGAAGGGACACAGGGCTACTTGGGGATGGATGAGTGTGAACTCACAGTGGATCCTGGGGGTTCTTTTAGGAGCTGGCTCCCCAGGATGGCACTGGCTACATGGATGTGGGTAAAGTGGCTTTTACTTTTCCTCCCTCCCAGGAGGAACTTTTCTCCTGTATTTCTTTCCTATGGGGGGAGGTTGGAGAGGAAGATAGGAAGAAAGGACTCCAAAAGGGTTACTCCACCACTTACCTCTTCTCAGGTTTGTCTCAGAAGGCCCGAGGGGAAGGTGCCCCAGATCCCCAGGGAGGGGGGCAGCTCAGGTAAGGAAGCTGGGAGTTCCTGACCTTACCAGGCCAGGTGATGTCCCTGCAGAGGGCTGGGATGCTCCTGGGAAGGTAGGGAAAATAGGAACAGGGAGAAGGGAGGAGAGGTGGCCTGGCCAAGGGGCACTGGGAGGGTGAGGGTGGGGCCCAGAGTCTAGGCCTCTGCTAAACTGCTCTCAACCCCAGGGCGGGGCGGCTGCCTGTGCCTCGGCCTCCAGGGTATAGCCAGGTGCTGCACGGCGACCCAAGCGTTGTTCTTCAGATTGCTGAAAAGGAGCAGGAGTTGTTGGCCTCACAGGAGACCGTTCAAGTGAGAGCACTGGGAAGGCGTGGGGGCTGCAGAGGCAGAAACCCAGGGCAGCGGGTCTCTGGGCTTGACCTCTGTGCTGTGCGGCCCAGGTCCTCCAGATGAAGGTGAGACGCTTGGAGCACCTGCTGCAGCTCAAGAACGTGCGCATCGATGACCTCTCCCGGCGGCTCCAGCAGGCGGAGCGTAAGCAGCAGCGGTGAGCATCAGGGGTGCCTTAGTGTCCCCCAGAGCCCTGACTCCACAGACCAACGCACCCACAGACCAACAAACGGGCAGGAGGGGCCAACAGCTCCAATGAGCCTCCTGGGGAGTAAGGCACCCCTCCCTTGGGGTGAGCGTGGGGTGGGGGCAGTGGGACAGGGGCCCTCTCTGCCAAGCCTGGGACTAAACCACCACCTTCACTATATCCGGGTCAGGAGAATGGACTGCTTTCCAAAACCCAGAGACCATGTGCAGAGACTTGGTGTTCACCCCAAAGCAGTGTCCGACACGGGGCAGGGACTCCACCTTGGAGCTCCCTGTGTTGGGCCTTCGGGGATGGTCCCCTGGCTCAGTCCACTCCTTGAGAACCAGGTCCCCACCCAGCTGTGAGGCCTGGGGTGTCTCCATCCATGCTAATTCCTTGTTCCCTGGGCTATGGGGGAAGCTGCCCCAGGCAGCAGAGGGAGTCTCTCGTCCCTCCTGGGCACTCACCTGGGACCCATCTTAAGGCTGGAGAAGCACAGCCACTGGAGAAGATGAGGTGAGGAGTGAGCTCAGCCAGGTGTGGGGAAGACATTGGCTGAGCCTCTACTGATCACCTTCCCTTCCCATGAAGTATGCTTCAGGATGCTTGGGGTATATGGGGCAGGGCTGCCCCCATTAAAGGTGTTGTCCTCTTTTGCCTGCACTTGCCTTCTCTCTCTGCCTGGATCATTGTGGGCAGCAAGGTCCTGCCCCCTTTTGCTGCCCTTTCCACCCCTTGAGTGAAATAGCCTTTTGGGCCCAGAGTGGGTCTTGCCCTGTGGGCAGCTGGGCCCTAGGTGGCCACTGCTTGGTAGGTTGATATCACAGAGGTCGGGTCTTCGGCACTAGGAGAGTCCGGCTTCTAACCCTGGCCTTAGTAGTCCAACCCTCAACCCACCCCACCACCACAGTGCCCTCCAGCTTGCTCCAAACCCAGACTTGATTCTCCCCAAATGTAGCCTCATACTCATCCTCAACCTTGCTCATGGACTGACCCCTAAATATGTCTGTCCTCTGTATGACTCAGCCCTGATCAAGACACCATGGCCATGGGGTGACCCTAACTCTGGTCAGTAACTCTGAACATTTGTAAATCCTGAGCCCCCCACAATTTAGTTTGTAGGCATAGACTCAGCATATGCCCAAGAGAAACTCTGTGTTTTGTGATCTGGGATCTGTGTATAGCAATATTCATAGCAACACGTTTTGTAACAGCAAAAGAGCTGAAAAGAACTTGTATTTGTTATCTATTACTGTGTAACAAATCACCACACTTAATGGCTTAGAACAGCACTCATTTATTATCTCATATTTTCTATGGCTCAAGAGTCCAGGCATGGCTTATCTAGGTCCTCCGATTCAGGGTTTCCCGCAAAGCTGCAATCACATTGTTGGCCAGAGCTGTGGTCTTATCTGAAGGTTCTACTGGGGAGGGGCTCACTTCCAAGTTCACTTGGTCATTCATAGAGTTCAGTTTCTTGTGGACTGTTGGACTGAGGGCTTCAGTTTCTTGCTGGGTGTTGGCTGGTGGCGGCCCTCATTTCCTTGCCATCCAGCAAGGGAGAGAGTTAGGGTCTGCTAGCAAGATGGAAGTTATAGTTTTATCTAATGCCATTATAGGGCTGACATCTATCATAATCGTCATATTCTATTTATTTGAAATAAGTCACTACATCCAGCCCACATCTGAGGAGAGAGGAACACATAGATTTGAATATCAGGAGGCAGAGATCATTGGGAGTCATTTTAGAATCTGGCTTCGAGGAGGAAAAAGCAACAAAGGATACATTCTAGGGTAGTGGTTGCTTCTGAGGAAAAGCGGAGGGCAGAAATGCAAGAAGCGCATGTGTAGATATAAGTTACTTGTAATGTTTTAGTTCTTGGGGCAGGTGAAGGGTTTACAGGTATTCATAAGTGGGTTGTTTATGGACAAGTAGGGAGAGAATGTCATGAACCAAGGGTTATGTGGAGTTCAATTCTATTTGTCCGAGTACCTAAAATAATAAAATAAAAATGGATGACTACTCCTGACCTTGGTCTGTGCCCCTCCCTTGCACTCAGCCTGGTCTCAGGTTAAGGCTGACTTCAGCCTGGCCTCCTGCCTTCCCCAGATGAACTGCAGCCCTGCACACGTACGGACCCCAGCTCTAGCCCTGTTCTCTCTCCGTAGTCTGTGTTGGGTCTCCAGAGCTCTGTCCTCTGAGCCTTACATCCATGGACCACACCTGTACACTCCTGTGTGTGGAGCTGGCAGGAATGGTTTGTTAATGAAGGGGCCTGAGGATCAGGATGTGGGGTTCTGCCTGACAGCACAATGGGCCCAGAATGCAGGTTTGGCAATTGGGGTCACCCCCTTAAGAGTCTGCTGACCTGCATAGCAGAGGCTGGGCCAGGTCTGGGAGGTTTCTCCTCCTTGGGTCCCCCCACACTCTTCCTACTATCTAGATATGCTTGTGTCTCAACCCACAATTATATCTCAAAACCCTATATATCAAACCCCAAAAGTAATAGAGAATTTTATTGAATGTTTCTTGGGAATAAATATGAAGGTGGAGTATGTCACACACTATAAGTCTGTAATTCTTCTTTAAACATCTCTGTTGTTCTCCAAACTTCCCTTCTCACAGCCACTACTGTATTTCTCCCACTCTGCTCCTCACTCCCCTCTGCCCTTTCAGAACCACACTAAGTCAGATTTCTTTGCTTCAGTTATCCATTAATTCCTCAAATGTTTATTGAGTGTCTACTATGTACCAAATGCCAGGGACATAAAGATGAGTATAAAATATGATTTCTGTCCCTCTGTTTTCAACTTGTAGGAGGGGAGAAAGCATGTAAAAAGGTATTACATTCTTTGTTAATATATTCTTTTAATTTTAAAGATTTTATGTATTTATTTTTAGAGAGAGGGGGAGGGAGGGGAAAAGAGGAGAGAAACGTCAATGTGTGGTTGCCTCTTATGTGCCCCCTACTGGGGACCTGGCCTGCAACCCAGGCATGTGCCCTGACTGGGAATCAAACCAGCGATTCCTTGGTTTGCAGACCGGCGCTCAATCCACTGGGCCACACCAGCCAGAGTGTTACTTAATCTTTTGAATAGATAAAAACACATCATTAAAAAAACATATAAACAGTAAAATCTCCCCTTGGTCCTCCCACACCTCCAATAGGAAACTTTTTCTTTAGTTTTTGCATATTCTTCTAGAGCATCTTTATGTGAATACAAGTAAATATACACGTTTATTATTATCTTCACCCCACCATTTTTTTAACATGAAGGGGAAGCAGACTACCCAGTCTGTTCTGTATCTTGGTTTTCCACTCAAGGAGATCTCTTGTAGATATGTGATGGTCAATGTTACATGCCAACTTGACTGGGCCACAGGGTACCAAGGTATTTGGACAAACATTCTGGGTGTTGCTGTGAGCGTGTTTGGGTGCGACTAACATTTATATGGGTAGACTGAAAGCAGATTGTTCTTCCTGATGTGAGTGGGCCTCTTCCAATCAGTTGAAGTCCTGAATAGAATTAAAAAGCTGTCTCTTCCCTAAGTAAGAGGAAATTCCTCCTGCCCAACAGCCTTTAAACTGGGACATCGGCTTTTTTTTTTTCCTGCCTTTGGACTCCAACTGAAACATGGATTCTTCCTGGGTCTTGAGCCTGCCAGCCTATGGACTGGAACTTAATGATGGACTCTCCCGAGTCTCCAGCTTGCGGACTCGTCCTACAGATCCTGCAGCTTGCCAGCCTCCATGTTGCGTGTGCTAATTCCTCTCTGTCTCCTATTGGTTCTGTTTCTCTGGAAAATCTTGACTGATGCAAGATTTTTCCATATCAGTACATTGAAAATTTCTTCTGCTTTTAAAGCTCTATTGTTTGTATCAAATAAAATTCTGTTGTCTGTACCAAATTTAATCAGTCCTCTAATTATGGAGATCTGATTTTTTAAAAAGACTTTATTTTTAGAGAGAGGGGAAGGGAGGGAGAAAGAGAGGGAGAGAAACATTGATGTGAAAGAGTGCGCGGGGTGGGGGGGTTCTGCCCACAGGGCCCCCTCCCACCATCCTCCACGGATGAAAATAAATCTACCAAGATGTAATCTTCTTAGGGAGAAAAGGTGGCTGATCTCTCAAAGGAGAAGGGCCTGGAGCCTGTTCCTCAATGGGCTTTTATTGGGTTTATTTGCACAGGAATACAGGGCATATATGTAAAGCTCATCAATCATTGTCAGGCAGTAATGATCAAACAATAGATAACATTCAAAGAACTATGAGGGCTTATTTAGAGTCAAGGTCAGATAGCTAAAGGACCATAAAACTTTGGGGAAACAAACTCATTTCATGCTTGGACACATCATTTAAATTGAGGGTATTAGCAAAGCAGGTTTCACAGGATTTTATGCATTCTTTCTTAGACCTGATCACCCTAGGGAACCCACCGTTTCCAGCACAGGGCCGCACCCACCCCTGGCATTGTTTCAGGCTTAAGTTGGGCTGGGGACATAAGGCAGCCAAGAGATTAGGAGACTTCTTACAGACATAAGGAGGACTCAGGCTATGTCTAAGCCGAGGGTCAAGGGTCCATTACCCCTTTCTCCACAGCCCCCCAAGTCCTTCCCTGAGGAACCCCCAAGTCCTTCCCTGAGGAACCCCAGGACCATGCCTGTCTTAGGTCGTCCCTCCCTTGAAGACACTTACTCATCATTGGCTAACCCGTCATACACTGGGGGTCAGGCAGAGTGAAGTAAAGGGGGCAGGGGCAGCGCCCCTGCCAAGGAGATAAACTTTGTCTCCTTAGTGGCTTATGATCCCCAGGTCTTTTTACTCAGCCTTAGCCACGGGGGATTACAACTTCTGAAATTAGGCAGTGCAGTTCCCAACAAAAGAGAAACATCGATCAATTGCCTCTTGCATGTGCCCCAACCAGGAATAGAACCTGCAACCCAGGCATGTGCCCTGACCTGGAACGAAACCAGCAACTTTTCACTTTACAGGATGATGCCCAACTGACTGAACCACACCAGTCACACTGATTTGTTTCAAATCTTTTACTATTAGTAATATAACAATGAATAACCTCAGACATTCATAATTTAGTATTGTATACAAGTATATCTGCATGATAAATTCCAGACCTGGGGTTGTTAGTGTCAACATAAGAAATGTTCAAACCTGTAGAGGGTTTTTATGAGTTTATTTGAGCCAAACTGAGGACAATTGCTGAGAAGCAAAACCGTGAGTTGGAAAAATGCCCTGGAAAATGGCAGTTTTGCTCCTTACTTTATACATTACAATCATGAAATCCATTGGTGATAGATTAGGGAGGCTGGAGGAAGCAAAGTGGGATGGGGGGGTGATTGGTGTGGTGGAGTGGAGGGGTGGGAGTGAGGGGCTGTAAAACCTCTGGGATTGGATACAAAGTAAAATGATAGACACATATTTCTTTTACACAGGTAGGTACAGGATAGTTAACAGTCCACAATTGACACGATAGCAGTAACAATGAGGGGATCTGTGGTCTCCTCCCTGGTGTGGTGGTTGTACCTGGAGGGTTCTGGAGAAACGGAAGTTACCTCGACATTACAAAGGTATGTTATCTTAGATGCAAACAGACAACATGCAGGCTCAAGTAAGGTAACGATTGCATTTTGTCTGGGAAGATTCTGGACTAGGACGTGACTGCCCTCCGTAACCTGCTTTTAGTTAGAAAGTTCTCATTTCAGACCATCCTATGTGGCTACTTTAGGTGTCTAAGTAAGGCTGCCATGCAGGTCTCCCCTAAGTTTGTCAGGTTTAGTATGTGGCACCTTGTAGGCCACATTAAGTCAAAGAGTACATGCATTTGTAGTCTTGACAGGTATTGTGAAATTGTCCTCCATAAGGGCATGGTTGAGAGCACAGGCTCAAGATTGGTAGCCGATTGCCCTGCTTTGGTTTGTGGAGTTGTGTTTTTACAAAATTAATTGCTAATTTTAACTTAAAAAAATTTAAAGACTTTATTTTTAGAGGAAGGGGGAGGGAAGGAGAAAGACAGAGAAACATCAATGTGAGAGAGAACATTGATCGGTTGCCTCTCGCACACCCGCACCTGGGGACCTGGCCTGCATCCCAGGCATGTGCCCAGGCATGTGCGCTAATTGAACCTATGAACTTTTGTTTTGTGGGGTGAATCTCAACCCACTGAGCCACACCATTCAGGACTAATTGCTAATTTTTATGTTGATGAGGATGTGAAACAACTGGAACTCAGAGTCTGCTGATGGGATTGTGAGTACAATCATTTCGGAAAACTGGTAGTTACATATAAAATTAAACATTTGCCTATGCTATTGTATCAATTCAATCAGAGACCCAGAAAGGATCTGTTACAGGGGTTAATATGACTTTGGGTAACTGTTGAATACGCTCAGCAAAGCTGCTGTCTTGCATTTGATGCTGGAACTTAAAGTTCACAGGTCAGGCTGTTGGGAAGGGAAGATGGATATAAGATGGGGAAGAGGAAAAATGAGCTGGAATCCACGAGCACAAGCTGGAACCCTAGAGGACAAACTGGAACTCATGTTAGTTCCCACTGCATCCACACTTGGTGATGTGGGTGCCATGGGGGAGAAACAGATGCTCTTTCCTGTCTGGTTCAGGAGTCAGAGAAGCTGAAGGAAGATCCAGGGCAGGGAGGAGCAGTTGCAGGCCTGTGTGCTCCCCCATGGCAATCAGGTGAGCCAACAGATCGGCAACAAAGTGCTTGAGCCACAAAGCTCCTGCCTAGACCTTGCAAGTGTAAAGACCATTATAACCACTGCTTTTCTTCTACCCTCCAAATCTTATGCAACAATATCTGTTGTGGCCCACCCTAATTGGAAACATACATGGAGGAGAATTCCAGGAAATGTAGTCCACCCTAAGTTGGCACATTATGAAGCCACCACTGCTGTTTCAACAATCCCAGTCCTCAATACATACTCAGGAAAAATGCACCCATGTGTTTACCAAAACATGTACTAGAATATACAACACAGTTTACAGTAGTCCCCCCTTTTCTGCAGGGGTTACGTTCTAAGATCCCCAATGGATGCCTGAAACTTTGGATAGTACCAAACCCTATACATACTTTTTTTTCCTACACATACATAGCTATGAGAAACTTTAATTTATAAATTGGGCACAGTAACAGGTGAACAACAATAACTAGTAATAAAATAGAACAATGATAATATTTTGTAGTAAAAGTTGTGTGAATGTGGTCTCTCTGATAACCAATCTCATAACAGAGATGGCCATGATGTGGCTACTGGGTGGGTGGCACAGTCAGCATGAATTCATGTAACCGACAGGATGGGGCAGGACAGCACAAGACTTCGTCATGCTACTCAGAATGGTGTGCAATTTAAAACTTATGAGTTTTATGAGTTTGTGGAATTTTCCATTTCATATTCTGGGACTGTGGTGGATGGCAGATAACTGAAACCATGAAAAGTGAAATCACAGATAAGGGAGGCAGTCCAGTTAGCAGTGACTCTGTGTGTTTGAAAGAGCCAGGGGTGGTTTGGAGAAGTTGGGTAGAAAGACAAAAAAGGGAGATGAATTTTGCCCATGAGAGGAGAGTAGGAAGGACATTCCAGGTGGGAAGGTAGCATGAAATCAAATGTCCGCACAGACCCAGAAGGTAAAATTAACCTGAGAAAATAGGGATTGGTGGGGACTACGGCAAATTGATGTACTAGCTTTTGTGCCAGGCTGGAATGTGAGTTCATCTCCTTAGAGTTTCTGATATTTCAAAAGAGGAAAAGGAGGAAATGAAGAATTATAATTTTTAAGTGCCCATGTGATGGCTCTGGCTCGGTAGCTCAGTTGGTTAGAGCATTAGAGCATCATCCAGTTATGCCCAGGTTGTGAGTTCCATCCCTGGTAAGGGTACATACAAGACAAAGAATGTATAAAAAAGTGGAACAAATTGATGATTCTCTCAAATCAATTTTAAAAAAAAAGCCCATGTGGGCTAAACACAATACAACTGCAGCCTGCTTTGGGCCCACTGCCTGCCAACTTTAGACCTTATAGAACAAACGCGAGAATACAACTGGAGAGGGAACTAATAGAGCACAGGGAACTGTGGGGTTGAGTAGTAAGAAAGCATCTGGCAGGAGCTGGTGGGCTGGGATCAGAATACGGAAATCTCTCAATGCTGTTGCTGGAGGACAGCATCTCAAACGCCAGAGTGCGCACGAATCACCCGAAATACTGCTAAAAGTTCTTTAGGCTCTTCTGGAAAGAGATGCTGAGCAAGTAGCGCTTTGTAGCAGGGACAGACTCGATAGAAACAATAGCTCAGGAATATTAGTTTGTCAACAGCGTGGCATCCAGCGGAAGGAGGGTAGAATCCTTGGGGGCTCCACAAAGGCAGAAACCCCGGTCCTGAAAAGTAGCTGGCCCTCAGCCCCTCGGGCCACTCTACCTGAGTTATATCGGAAGGAACTGCGTGCTCTGGAGAGCTCCCTGTGGGCACTTCAGGGACTCTGTCCCGGCCAGAAGAAGAGGGCGTTTGTGTGAGACGGTGTTCATGGATTCGCAGGCAGAGCTACGGCTAGAACCGCTTAGGATCCGAAGGCCACGCCTCTCGCTAATCAGGCTCTAAACTGGCGCCCACTTCCTATCGCGCAGCGCAGAGCCAGTCGCATCCTGCTGTCATGACGACCGCTTCCGTGGAGACCCGGCGCAGAGGCTGCGGTCCCCGCGGAAGCCTGCACAGGTTCTCCCAACCCCCCACCCTGCGTGCCTTCTTTGTTTTGACGCTTATTTCGGCAAGCAGGGATCCCAGGACGAGTCTCAGGCCCGCGCCGGAGCGCTTCCTCCTAGGCAGGGCGGTGGGGTGTAAGGGGAAGAGGCCGAAACCCGGGGTTAATAGAGCGGTTCCTGAACAGGACCTAGAGAGAGGCGAATCAGTTGCGCAAGCGGGCTTGGAAGCTACTTTCTCGTGTCCCTAAACGCCGCCTTACTGCCGCTCCAGGGGTCAGAGTCTAGGGGAGGTCCCTTCCAAGTTGAGGCAAAGGCGGAAGGTACAGATTCCACTGCTGAAGGTGGGACGCGGGCGGGGCCTACTCGAGGCGGTTCTCCTTTCCGCTCACCCTCCTGCCGGATACCGGCCCCAGGACACATCGGGAGGCCTTGCTGCCTACATCGCGATAACTCCCCGACGTAAGTGCGGTCTGGGGTAAGGGAGGTACCGCACTGCGCAGCCGCAGGGCACCCGGCACGTGATACCGTGGCGCAAAGCCCGTTGGCTGTTCTCTACCGCCTGTTTATTGGCCCGAAGCATCCTCGCCCCACCCCCTCGGCCGACCAATGGGCGGGGGCGGGGGCGTGTCCGTAAGGCGGGAGGCTGCAGCACCGGGATCCCTCCTCGTGCTCAGCGTGGAGCCCCCTGCAGCCGCCGCGACTGCCACCACCCCAGCCGCGGGCTTCCCGACTCGGCTCCGGGTTGCGTCCCGCACGGTGAGACTGCTCCTCCTTCCGCAGCCACTTCCCGGTTTCTCTCTGCTTGCGGGTATCCCTTTCCGGCTGAGCCTCCGTCCTAAGCAGTCGGTGCATGAGACCCCATCCGGTGGGGCGCTGGGCCGGGGCGGGGGTTGATGGGGAGCCGCTCCACTGTCGGGCTCGGGAGGGTTCTCTGGCATCTGAGCTGGGGAGATGTCCTACCTTGGGGATGCGAGTGACCATCAGCTGGTGTAGCTGAGGTATTTTTCGCCGGGCGCTGTCCGGGGCATGTGTAACACTGTGAAGGTGGGGGCGTAACGGGGTCAGCGCAATCAGCATCCCACCCACAGCCATTGCCACCACCTCGCTGTGTGACCTTGGACGGGTAGCCTCTCTGAGCATCGAATGCCTCGGCACCCTCAGGGAGGAGGGTAATGATGTCGGGGAGTGCAAGCTTTGGAGACTGCGTCAACAGAGGGCAGGGTGGGGAGGGCACAGTATTATCTTTGAGCAACAGAGCAGAGCGGCCACCTCACAACCCGGGAGGGATATGATGGGGGGCCGCGCCCTCCAGCCTCATCTGTCCTCGGAGAGAATGAGAATGGGACAGGGATGGGGCGCCACACCCACGGGGATGGAGGCGGGAAAGGATACAGGGTCCTACACCCTGGACCCTAGTGCACCTGGGGACTTGGCCAGCACCTCCCTGTTGTCACACTGCAGGAGGGATTCGATATAGGTTCTGGACCGGTGTTCCTGTTAGTGAGCAGGTGCCCTGCTGGACTGAGAAAGGAGGCATTGGGCTGCTTTTCCTCTTGAATCTTGTCATGAGGAAGTGGGAGTAGGGCCTTTCTCTACAGTTTCCTCCTCCTGCCCAGGGAACTGAAGAAAGTCAGGGTCGGTTGGCAACCTTGAATCCTGCCTGGCCTTTACTTGTTGGGACACCAGGTTGGGGCAGGCAGTCTGGAGGCTAGAGGGAATTTAAGCACCTCCTAGTTAAGGGTTTGGGGAGGGGTTCTGGGAGGAGGGGATAATGGGCAGGGGAGTGCAGTACTTCTTGGGGAGACTGGAGGGTATGGCATGGTGGGGGGTCCCTTTCCCTATTCACCACTGCTCCACGCATTTGTGAGAGAGAGAGAATACCCACCCATCTGTCCTTACCCCTTTGGCCTGCTGGAGGGAGGAGGACATGGAGTCACATCCAGACTGAGTTAATGTAAAACTGCCACAGCCATACCCAACTTCCAGTCTTTCCTTTCCAGGCATTGGTTTAGGTATGTGGGCCCCTGACTGTGTGTTCAGTCTGTTGTCAGGTTCTGGACTCAGCAGGTCAGTGTGGCCTCAGTGGGCACTCTTTTTACAAGATTGAGCTTGAATGAGAAGCTGGACAGTGCTTCTGACAGACTAAGTGCTTAAACCAGGTCTGAGCCCTGGGTTGAGGGTGAGGGGTAGGTGGGAGGTTGTGGAGTTCCTGGCTTGGACAGTCCCTGAACAGGTTGAGAGTAGGGATTGGGAAATGAATGGCAAGTGAGGCCCCAAGAGGTTAGCTTGTCCCAAACTACAAAGCAGAGGACAAGCTGTAGCTGAACTTGTCCTGTGATAAATGAGACTTGGGGGCTGCCTCTGGGGCAGAAAGGTGGTATGGGTGTGCAGCTGTGGGGTGGAGGAAGGGCAAGAAGGTGGCAGGTTCTGGAGCTCCACCTGCCACTTATAGACTGTCTTTGGCCTTTCCAGTCTGGAGCTTTGGGCCCCATGGTGGGACGACCTCGAGTAGCAGCTAGCATCCTGTGGGTCAGGAGTCTAAGGGGCTGAGAACGCTGGGTTTCTGTGTAACTGTCCATCTGTCTACTCACTTGTCATGTCCCTGGGCCTGCTCTTCATGCCAGAGGCTCCACTAGGCTGGCTAAGCCCTGCCCAGTGTGGAGGTGGGGGGTGGGTAACCTTGAAGCAGCCATCCTATCCAAAGCTGAGACGGACCTGAGCTGGCAGCACTCTATCCCCTAGAGAGAAGTTTTCCTCAATTTCCCTGAGAGTAACTGAGAGCCAAAGAGGCCCCCAAGGCCCTCATTCTAGCTTTCCAGCCCTCCCCATCCTGTGACTTGTCCATGGTATCACCCCTGACCTGCTGACAGCCCATATAAGAGGGGGGTGTCAGGGATTTTTATTTTTGGCTGGGTTAGGGCCATTCCCCAGGATGTACATTCTTCACATCAGTCTTGTGAATCCCTCTGGTGTGGGGGACAGCAGGCTCCCAGCAGTCTGTTCTGTCGGTCCTTAGGGACATGTCTGGCCTGGGAGTGGGGAAGGGAGAAGGCAGGAAGAGGTGGCAAAGGGGAGGGAGGCCCGTCAACCCTCGAGCTGTATTCTGAGAAGGCTGAAGTCCCAGGAGGTGGTGGTGGGGGTGCCATTCCTGTCTGTTCCAGTATTGCCTGAAGTGCCTCTCTGCCAGTGCTTCCCTGAAATTGCCCATTGCTTCAGAAACCAGGCCTTTGGGGGTTTGCTTTTTGCAAAGATGGGGGTGGAGTGGGGAGCGTTGTCAGAGCTTCAGACATTGGCTGCACCAAACCCTCAGAGGCAGAGGCCACTGCTTTTTCCTGTGGCACAGATGAGGACACTGAGGCACAGAGATGCAGAGTAACTTGGCCCATGGAGCCTGCATCTGAACCAGGACTGCTGGGCTCAGGGAGGCTGTGAGGCTTGGGTCACACTCAGGGCTTGGCTGGCACAGAAGGCGGCCTAGAGGTTCCCTGTGGGTGCAGCTGCAGGAGGACAGGGCTCAACACCCTCTCCTCCTGCTTCTGATGAGGAATTGTGCAGATAAGAGTCTGGCTTCCAGGGCACAGCGTCTGGCAGGACTCTGCTTTAAGAAAGGATGCTTTCTTTTTCTAGCCTCCTCTGGGCCCCTAAATTCACTTGCCTCCCCCTCTGCTTGTTCTGACCTGAGCTCTAGTCAGCACATGAGATGTAGGCCCTACCATCTGGGCTTTCCATGTCAAGGATGGACTGGGCGGCGCACCGGTTGATGGGAGCAATGCTAGAAGAATACTAGGGGGAGGCTGCACTCTGAGATGGGGGAGGGGTGTGCCCTTTCGGGCAGAGGTTGGCTAAGAGAGTGGGATGGGGCCTTCCTCTTCCTGAGAACATTTGGTAAGAGTCTCTCCCATAGCTGCCTAGAGGGCCCAGTCAAGGCCCAGACTTGGGCTCCCCTTACTTTGGCTACTCATGCCACAAATACGAACGTAGGTTTTCCCTGCCAGGTCCTGGGCTGGGTGCTGGACCACAGAGGTTGGCAAAAACAGCCACTGCCCTTGTAAGATGGGGAACATGGATATCAAATAATACCAGAAGGGAGAAAGGGGATCCTTTTAAAGATTTTTGTCAGGCCTATGCTGGGATGGGCGGGAGTGGGTGGTGGTATGCTACCTGAGAAAGGTACTCTGGGGCTGAGATCCAGGCCAAGGGGACAGGATTGTTCCAGGCAGGCAACAGGCAGGGAAGCAGGGAGGGGCCCTGCAAGTACTAGGTCAGAGTGTTTTGTGAAGAGTCCCCAGGAGTCTTTGCTCATGGCCACTGGCTAAGGATCTCAGTGTCCTGGCAGATGCGGGGATCTTGTAGGCACTGGGCTGTCGTTCCCTCGTGGCTGAGAGATGTGGCTGCAACAGCCTCTTCGAAAGGTAAGGAAGATGGTCCGGTACCCTTGCAAATGGCCATTGTCTTACATGCTCATAGTTTCAGAGGGTGGGTGGGGTGGAGGCAGGCTTCTCCAAGGGCCAAGATCCCTGGGGAGAAGCCGAGTGACCCAAGACTAAGGGGCTGCCCTGCTGGACCTGCCCCCAGAGCAGCCCTGGACAGAGATGAATGGGGGTGTAGTTCCCCTCCCTGCGCCCTGGGCTGGGTGGGGCCTGGGAGACAGCCTCCAAGGGGGTAGGGGGTGTGCTGGCCTGGAGTTGTACCTGCCCTGGTGGCTCCTGAGTTCCTGAGACCCAAGCCTTGAACCTCCTTCTACCAGGGGTTCCTGGCACCCAAGCTGATCGCCCTGCGCTGGAGGCATGGATTGGGCCTGGGTGGGCTTCTCAAACTGGGACGTGGGGAGGGAGGTGAGGCTGGCTCCCAGGAAGCTCAACACCTGAGAGACCCCCAAGTCATGCCCTCCACAGGCCCAGCCCCTGACTGACTGTGAGGCTGCCAACTCATGGTTTCTCTTCCTCGTTCCCTGGACTAGCCGAGGTCATTCGTGGGTCACTCATCTCTAAATCTTTCAGTGTGTATCTCTGAAAAATAGGACAATACTTCTCTACAGAATGCAATTTCATTATCTCACCAAACAGGATCTGCTCTTATTTCTTGAGTCTGTCATCTAAGATCCAGTCCCATTCACATTTCCTAATTATCCCTCAAATGCAGTTTTGACCAGTAGTTAGAAACCCCCTACCCTGTTTATGTTTCTTCTTGTAGCTGGCGGAGTGGAAAAAGATGGGTCATTTGTCCCATAGAGTATCCCGCCTTCTTGGTCTCTTTGTGTTAATCTAGCACTGCGGTTGGCAAACTTTTTCTGCAAAGGGCCAGATAGTAAATATTTTAGACTTTGCAGGCCATGTGCTCTCTGTGGCATCTACTCAAAGCAGTTCTGCTTCACTGCAAAAGCAGTTTTAGACAGCATGTAACCCAACAAGTGTGGTTGCGTTCCAGTTAAACTACAAAAACCAGGCGGTGGCCCCACAGTCTGGTTTGTTTGTTTGTTTTTAAGATTTTATTTATTTATTTTTAGAGAGGGGGAAGGGAGGAAGAAAGAGAAGGAGAGAAACATCTATGTGTGGTCACCTCTACCTCCCCCCCCCCACAGGGGACCTGGCCCACAACCCAGGCATGTGCCCTGAATGGGAATCAAACCAATGACCCTTTGGTTCACAGGTCTGTGCTCAATCAATGGAGCCACACCAGCCAGGGCCCCACAGTCTGTTTTCTGCCCATCCCCTATCTAAACCACCCTTCCTTTATTTTTTTTCTTCCACTTTGGTGGCGGAGGAGGGGAACAAATCAGTTTCCTATAACTACCCTGCCTTTTGGGTTTGTCTCATTTCATTCTTGAGGAAGTCATTTACTTTATTTATATTTTTATCCTCACCTGAGGACATGCGTGTTGATTTTAGAGAGTGGGAGGGGGCAGGGAGAAACATTCATACAAGAGAGAAACAGAGAAACATGGAGGGAAGCATCAGTCAGTTGCTTATAGTCATGTGTCCTGACGGGGAACTGAACCTGCAACCTTTCGGTTTCCTGGATGAAGGTGCAAACTGACTGAGCCTCACTGGCCAGCGTGTGGAGCCATTTAATTTGTTCCACTAACCTCTGTGGTTTCTTTTTTCATTGTTTTTATTTTATTTTATTTTTAATTTTAATTGTTGTTCAAGTACAGTTTTCTGTCTTCTACTCCCATCCCAGCCCACCCCCCCAACCCTCCCCACCTCCCTCCCATTTCTACTCCCACTAGTTTTTGTCCATGTGTCCTTTATACTTGTTCCTGTAAACCCTTCCCCTTTTCCCCTGAAATTCCCTCCCCTCTCCCCTCTGGTTACTGTCAGTGTGTTCTCTATTTCAGTGTCTTTGGTTATATTTTGCTTGTTTGTTTGTTTTGTTGTTTAGGTTCCTGTTAAAGGTGAGATCATATGGTATTTATCTTTCACCGCCTGGTTTATTTCGCTTAGCATAATGCTTTCCAGCTCCATCCATGCTGTCACAAAAGGTAGGAGCTCCTTCTTCCTTTCTGCTGCATAGTATTCTATTGTATAAATATTGTACTACAGTTTTTTGATCCATTCATTTACTGATGGACACCTAGGTTGCTTTGAACACTTGGCTATTGTAAATTGTGCTGCTATGAACATTGGGGTGCATAGGTTTTTTTGGATTGGTGTTTCAGGGTTCTTAGGATATAATCCTAGCTGTAGAATTGTTGGGTCAAAAGGCAGATCCATTTTTAGTTTTCTGAGAAAATTCCATACTGTTTTCCATAGTGGTTGTACCAGTCTGCAATCCCACCAACAGTACACTAAGGTCCCCTTTTCTCCACAACCTCTCCAACACTTGTTTGTTGTTTTGTTTATGATGGCCATTCTGACCGGTGGGAAGTGGAGGAAACAAAGCTGTCATTGTTTGCAGATGACATAGTGTACATAGAAAATCCTATAGACTCCACCAAAAAAACTGCTCGACCTAATAAATGAATCTGGCAAAACAGCGGGATACAAAGTCAATAACCAGAAATCAAAGGCATTTTTGTATACCAACAATAGAAACAGTAGAAGGAGAAATCAAGAAAAAAATCCCATTCAATATAGCAAAAAGAAAAATAAAATACCTAGGAATAAACCTAACCAAGGAGGTAAAAGACTTTTGTGCAGAAAACTACACAACACTGAAGAAAGAAATCAAGGAAGACACAAACAAATGGTAACCTCTGTGTTTTCACTAAGCCAGAAGTCGGTGCTAGGGGCTGGATTCGATCCAGCTTACACATTTTGGAAGGTGCTGCGCACTGGTCAGTGGCGCTGTGCTTCAGTGCTGCCTCCCATCAGGGTCTCAGTGTGTCAGGTTCCACTGTGAGCGAGGGGTGATAGGCTGTTGCGTGACAGGCTGGTGTCACATCTCTCCGATGCCGACTTGTGTCATTTCCCTTGAGAGCCCTCAGTCATCTGCTCATGCCATGTGGGCATCTGTGAGCATCCACTTCTGTCAACCTTTTCCTTCCCAGCTTAGCATCCACTGACTCATTGCCTCGGCCTGAACTGGGGGCTGCAGAGTTACTTGGCATTTGGTCATTCCTTTGTTATTTAATAGCGAGAATTCTTCTGTAAAGAAGAGCTTTCTTTTAACCACCAGGGCAACTTCATTACAGAAAAGGCCAAGAGACAGACTGAAATACTTCTCGTTATTGCCAGTTTTCAGAGGAAAGATTTAGGGCATTGCTGCCGTCAGGGGCGACAAAGGAAGGTTTAGGTTTGTTTGTTTGGTTTTCTCGTCTTTTTTTCTCTAATCTCTGAATACCCCCGTTTTTGGTATTTCATCTGTTTCCGTCAGTTGCACTCATTATTTTTGATGCTGAGATGGTCCCAGCTCAGCCCATGGGGATCAGACGGCTCACATGGGCTTCCCTGGGCGCCTCCTGCTGTCCCCTTGCTTTGAGGTTAGGGCAGCTGAGCTGGGGGGCAGCCCCTCTGCAGCCGTCCGTTCTGTATATGGCCCCGACTAGTCACCAGTAAGGAAAGGTCTGAGGGCATGTTATCTTCTGTGTGCCCTCGTTTTTGCTCCCTTCCCAGCATACTGTTGACTCTGACCTGGACCTGGCTGCATTGGCTGTGTGACCTGAATAATGCAGACTCTGGCTGCAGGAGGGTGTAGCTCTTGGGGTCGCCAGCTCTGGAACTGGCTCTTAGAAAGTGCCAAAAAAGTCCCCTCCTTTCTAGATTGTCCTTGCCATCAGCCTCAGGTGCCTTGGGCACACGAGTCCTGTGCTGGCACTTTGGCACCCAGAAGCTGCAGCTCAGCGTGTGCTGGCTGGGCCCTGGGTCAGCAGGGTGCCAGGCAGGGGGAGGGCTCTTGGTGAATGGGGGATGTGGGTAGAGGAGTGTGGGCTGTGCTAGAGGACACAGGCATCACTTGGGCCACTAAGAGCAGCAGGGTTTTGGGACCTCCCTAAGGGGAGGTCTCTACTCTCAGGCTGTGGGTGGCCCTGACCCGTGCCTTTCCCACTCCCCACCCTGCAGGCTCCTTCTGGTGTCCCTTAGAGCATGGGAGGCTGCTGAGCTTGAGTGGCAGGGTCCAGTAGGAGCTGCGAGTTTCAGCCCTTGGCAGGGAGGGCATCCATGGCTGCAGCCAACAAGGGTAAGTGCCGTCCGGGCCTGGTGGGGTTTGCAGGGTCTTCTGGTGGGCCCTGGTGGGAGGGGTGTTGTTGTGTGAGGGGCCTCCATTGGCTGTGTGTGCATGTGTCTGAATGTGAGTACAAATGACATCAGCAATTGCACCAGCATTTGTGGCAGGTCCTGGGGCACACCGAAGCCCTAGCAGGGAATGTGGTGACCCCTGCTGGTTCCTTGGGGTGCCGGTCTTTAGAGGTGTGCCCTCTTGCCCCTTGTTCCAGCCTCCCTGTTCCCCTGGGGGCGCTGTAGAGGGCATGAGGGGCTTTGGGTGAGCACTGAGCCTGGCGAGGTGGGTAGAGCCATAGAAAGGAATTTTGGTTCATTCGGAGTCCAGAAGGGCTTGTGGAGGGTTTCAGGCAAGGGAGGCCTGATGAGATTTGAGGGTCAGGTCTGGGCTGTCTCAGCAGGGAATGTGGGAGTGCCAGCCTGGCTCCTGGGGGTCTCCACTGGGTGTCCAAGAGCCCAGGCCATGGCTGGTCTAGGCCCTCACACAGGGAGGACTCTGAGCAGGGTTCTTGGGAGGTGTAGGGGCTGTGGGGGCCAGAGAGGACTGGGGTCATGCTCTTGGTAAGACAGACCTCCCCCAGGGGTAGGCCCTCAGCCCAGCTCTTGGTGCTCTGCCTGTGTCAGTGTCCTGCCTCCTGGCTTTGGAGAACCTGATCCATCTGGGAGCAGCTGAGGCCCTTACCCCTTAAGGGGTTAGGCAGAGGAAGGTGTCCCTGGGAAGGGTCCTGGAGGCTCCCCTTGGTTCTTCCATCTTTCCTGCCAATGCGCAGTGATGAGGTAGGGGCAGCTACAGCCCCTCCTAAGTGAGCTCAGTGTGGGCCTTGCCCCTTTGTTTTTTCCCCACCTAGATAGGTCCCATAGAGCCAGTTCCTGTCCTTGCCCCTCACCCCTACTAAGTTGGGGTCATCAGGAGAGATAGGTGGGGGGACCTTGGGCACAAACATACCTAGAAGAGAATGTCCCAGAGATGGAGAGCTTGGCCCTGTGGAGGGGAGGCCTGAGCTGAGGTGGGCTTTTCCTGGGGCTAGGTGAACGTCTTGGAGACTGTCTCTTCCTGTCTCTGGAGTCAGCCTTATTCCAAGTGAGGGGTCATGCTAGCTAGTTCCTGACTCCCCCTGACACCTGTACTTATGGTGTGTTTTTGTGGGAGGATTGGGCCTCACACCTCATGATCCCCAGTGTCCGGTTGGAGGTAGCCTAGCGCTAAAAGGAGTCCAGCCAGTGGGTGCTGGGTGATACCACTGGCAGTTGCAAGGGGCAGGGAAGCCACAAGGGGGAGTCATGTCCCGGGGGCAGCGGAAGCCTGCAGTCCCTGGAACCCTCTCCCACTCTCCTCGTAGGCAGCAAGCCCAGAGTCCGGAGCATCCGCTTTGCGGCAGGCCACGATGCAGAAGGCTCCCAGAGCCATGTCCACTTTGATGAGAAGCTGCATGACTCGGTGGTCATGGTCACCCAGGAGAGTGACAGCAGCTTTCTGGTCAAGGTATGTGCACACCTGCCTCCATCATCAGCCTCATTCCCTCTTATCTCCTTCTCAGCCCCGCCTGGCATCCTGGGCCTGTCTGTTCCATGCCCTCTAAACTGGCTCCATAGGCCTCTCTTTCTTCTCCCCTGGGCCTCGGTTTCCCCCTCCGTAAAGCGGGAAGTGGTGAGATGGCAATGAGAGGAATGCAGTTAGAACGTCACCCCGAATGAGGTGAGGGGAGCAGAGGAGCTATTGTTATCATCAGCATCTCCCCAACGGTAGTGATGGAAGGTGGGTGTGCAGGCTGTGATGTCACAAGCCTGGGTCTTGCTCTGTGACCTTGGGCAGGTCACCTCAGCTTCCTGTTCTTTGAAGTGAAGACAGTTCGTATCCCACAGAGTTGGTGTGAAAATCAAATGGAAGAATGTGTGTATGTTATACAGGTAATTATACTGATAACAAGGTACGACTTTATTTACCTTCTTTGCCAAACTTCTGGCTGATTTTCACCCCCATATTTGCTACTCAGTGGAGCACACCCTTTGGTCATACTTCACACACCCTGTGGTGTGGCTTCTCCAGCTGCTAGGACACTGTCGGATCCCACATCCACTTGGAGGGACGAAAGTCTCTGGAGGGGAGGGACTGGGGGAAACGGGCAGTGAGGCCCTCGGGCTGGACAGTAAACCAGGGCTCCAGAGTTGAGCAGGGAGGCCCCAGGGTGCAGGGGGAGGGATCTTGTTCCTGGAGACCGACCGCCCTGAGGAAGGGCCCAGGTTCATACCTACTTCTGCCCAGTCCTGGCTCTTTCTCCCACAGCTGTCAGCCTCCCCAAGGGAATAAACAGAAGGAAACAAAACTTAAAAAAACAGCTCCCTGTCCCCCACTCCCCATTGCAAAATTCATTCATGCCTCATAGAGAAAATCTCTGAAGAAATTTAAAAGTACCCAGAGTTATAGTACCTAGAATAGCAATGGTTAATATTTTGATGTGTCATTTTAGCCTTTCTTATAGCTTTGTTTCCAAAAACAAAAAGCTGGTATCACAGTGTAACAGTTTTTTGCTTACGCCTTTGTTACGAGCCATCTCCTGCCTCTGTCAGTAAATAATTTTCTACAAGATCTTACAACTGCTTGGTATTCCATTATATGTGTCATCGTTGATTTAGCTGGTTCCCTATTTCTGGTGTTACTGCCGTTTCTATTTTTTACTGTTATAAATAGGGCAGCGATAAGTATTTTTTGCACATCTCTGAGTGTTTCCACTGGAAAATTCTGCGAGTGGTGCAGCTGCATCACAGGGTCACCACTGGCAGGTATAGGAGAAGGCTCTCGTGAGAAGCGTGCCCTCCACCTGCACAGTGTGGGAGCCAAAGGGCCTGGGCTTTATCACGTAGTGACTGCAGCCCCGTCCCAATGAAAGGCTCAATGTTCCATGCAGCCAGTCCCAACGGGCTCCTAGGGACAGGCCGTGCGGCCCGAGAAACCACGTGCAGGAGAGGAAATGTACGTGTGAGCCATGGGTACGGCATGCGCCCCTTTGTGCCCTGGACTGGCACTCTGGTCAGCCTACCTGCTCAACAGCCACCCCGGCTTGTGACCCTTCACATGACTGGCGTTTCCAAGGATGGCGTCTATCCCAGAGGGTACCGGTTGCCAAGCACCGTATACAACAAAAACTGCTTGAACCCTGAGTCGGGGCTGTTGGACACACTGACCCTTGGGGCAGGCAGGCGGGTGCCCACGATCAGATGCCAGCAGGCAGGCAGGCCCGGTGCAGTGACTGGTGCCAGGCCTGTGGGCCGGCTTTGGACTGACACGGTTGGTCTCGTGTCATTGTTTCTAATTCTATCCCATCCTTCATTCTGTGCAGTCTGTGTTGCCTTGTGTCACCACATGAGTGACCAGAGAACCAGTGTCCCTGCCCCAGACTGTGGACTCCGGGCAGGTGGATGGGCCCCTTCTTGGCAGTGGCTGGGAGCTTGCTATGTGCCACTTATGGCGAGACTGACCTAGGGGCCTCCAGCGACTTCCTTCCTGGCTTCCATTTATTGTCTATAAAATGGGCCACTGAGGAGCTGTGGGGTGCATGAGACAGGTGCCGAGGAGCGTGTGGCCCAGCTGTGGGGTGAGGTCCCCGGGAAAGGCCTACAGTCACCGGGCTGGGGGCAGTAGGGAGATACAGGCCCCCCAGGAGTCCCAAGGAAACAGGTGCAGAGGCCCACAGGACCATAGATGGCATGATCTGGGTGGGCCCTGGGGGAGTTGTAAGTGAGGGTGCTTCCTTCCTCCACCCTTCCTGCTGCAGGTTGGCTTCCTGAAGATCCTGCACAGGTATGAGATTACCTTCACTTTGCCCTCGGTGCAGAGGCTGAGCAAGGACATCCGAGAGGCGCCTGTCCCCAGCCTGCACCTCAAGCTCCTCAGCGTCGTGCCTGCCCCGGAAGGTGCGTCCTCGACTCAGGGCGCTGGAGGCTGGCCCCCCTCCGGCAGGGCCTGGGCCGAGTGGGAGTGAGAACACGGGATGCCCCTTTCCCTCCATCTAGTGCGGATGGGCAGCAGTCGGGGACATGACGCCTCTCCATAGGCTTGCAGTGTGGCAGCTGGGCAGGTCCCATGCCCCAGGCCTCAGTCCCCGGACAGAAGTCCACGGGCTCACACTGCCGCCTGGGTCTGCCCGCTCCCTGACAGTTTACTCAGTGGGATGGGGGGGAGCCACTGCGGACCTGGCTCTGGACCTCCAGCCCTCCTTCCTCGTGTCCCTCAAGAAAAACCTGCTGGAGCCTCAGGAACTCTGCTTGGCTCTCTCCTAGCACCCTCCTGGGCTTTGGGCTGGGGGCTGCTGCTCCCTACCTCACCAGCTTCAACCCCTGCCCCCCCCCCATAGGCTGGGTGATCAGTTTCACTGTGTGCTGAAGTCCCAGCTTCAGTTACATGTCCCCCCACCTCCTCGTGACCTTGCCCTTAAGTGGACTGAGCAAACCCCTCAGGCCTTTGCCTCTTGCCACCTGATCTGCTCAAGTCCTGGCCTGCCCACCCCCCTTCTCATCACTCCCTCTCCTTCCTGCCATTTCGGGGAATCAGCAGGGCCTCCTGGAAGCCTACGTTTGGTCCTTGGAGCCTTAATGTGACCCACGGGCCCAAGGCATGTGGCACTCATGAAGAAGGGGAAATTTCTGAGTCCTGTGCCCCCGCCTTGGGGACATGGGTCCTGGACCACCCTTGCTCCTTTGGAGGAGGTGGCCAGTCTCAGCGGTGGTGGTGGGGCCAGTGAGTGCCGCGGGGCAGGGGCAGGAGGCCATGGAGATGCTGATTGCCCAGACAGGTTACAGCATCAAGTGCGAGTACACGGCGCACAAGGAGGGCGTCCTCAAGGAGGAGATGCTGCTCGCCTGCGAAGGTGGCGCCGGCGCCTGTGTGCGAGTGGTGGTGCAGGCACGCGTCATGGGTGAGAGTGCAAGGCGTGCATCCGGCTAGGGGACGGGAACCCCAGTTTCCCCAAAAGGGGATTCTGCCTTCCTCCAGTGTGAAAAAGGGGCCCTTACCCTGGCTGGGGTTTCCTACCTCTTTGGTGGGTGTCTTTCCCCCCCTCCCCAGTAGAGCCCTGAGAGAGGGTGGAGGGGTCTCCTTGGAGTGGGTGGAGCAGGGGTCCAGCCTGGCACCCTGACTTTCGGTCTGCCTTGCAGACCGGCACCATGGCACGCCCATGCTGCTGGACGGCGTCAAGTGTGTGGGCGCTGAGCTAGAATACGACTCGGAGCACAGCGACTGGCACGGCTTCGACTGAGGCCCATGCCCCGGCCCACCTTGGGGCCCCTCAGCCTTAATCTCCACCTCTTCTCCCCCATGCTGCATGACGGTGTGGCTTCCTCATCCCTCCCCAGGGTGGGCGTGGGGGGCTGTCCCGGGGCCTCCAGGCTGGGGCCTCCCCACGCCTCACCTCTGTCTCCATTGTTATCACCTTCCTGCCCCTCCTGCATCCTCCTCTTCCTGCTTCTTCCTCTCCATGTGCCTCAGTCTCCTGCAGGAAGAAATGGGTTGAGCCCCCAAGGAGCTGTCTGAGGAGGGGGCAGGGGAGGGAAGGACCTGGGGTGGGTAAACCACCCCACACTGCAAGCCATAGGAGCTCCAGCCAGGGCCTGGGAGAGGGGGGAACTGGCGCTCTGATGTCATCGCCCCATTGCTGCTGCTGCTGTCTCATCTAAGCCACCTCCTGTCCCCCCACCCCCAACTGCTGTCCATGGTGAACTGGAGGGAGGTACAGGTCTCAGCCCCTACCCCCAGGTGTGTGTGACTTGGTTTTTAAACAACTGGTTGGGATAAAAACTTAAATAAAACTTTCAGTGGATACCCGAGGCCAGTGGACTTTTGTTCTCTAGGGCCCCCAAAACGCCCAGTCTTCTGAAGACAGGCCAGGGAATGGTTCGGCTAAGCTGCTTCCAGGAAGTAAGGGCACTGGGCGGTATAAGAGCAACTAACCCCCAAAGAGTTATCTACAGGTGATGGCATTTTCAGCCTGGGAATAGTTGCCAAGGCAGTCTGGATGGGGAGGGGCCCTCTGTCCAGGCTAGAGAGCGGTCTGACGGACTGCAGGGGTTCTACTTGGAAGTTTGACAGGGAGAAGGCAGCACCCCCTTCTGGCCAGTTCTTAGCCCACGCACAGCTGAAAGCTTTCTCCCTTCTTCCTGGAACCCAGGCCTCCATTACTAGATCACTGGGGTCCCCTCTTGTGAGGTACCAGCATAAATGCTTTATTGTCACCCTAGGCAGGTAGGGCTGTTGCATGCTAGGGTGGGCATAATGGCACATTGAGTTAACTGGCAGAGCTGAGACCAGTCCTTAAGTGTTCCCTCTGTCCTAGTGCACTGGCCACCCCCCTCCCCCACTTTTGTGGCTGGGATAAGATTCAAGTGGGTCATTTACAGGCTGTCTTGGGGCCTTCCCAGGATGAGTCATCTCTCTTGAAGCAAGGCCCGCCCCCAGCATGCTACTTCCCCCACATTCCCTCATAATCACCTTGTACCCTCCTCCTCTAATATCAGCCTGCTACTGCCCTTTGTCCACCTAACACTCGTACTTGAGTGTCAGCACCACGCCCTGGAAGGGCCTACTACCCCTGTCCCTCTTGTCAGCTTCCGGTCATTTTTCTGTGGCACAAGGCTGCTCTTCCCAGCTGCCTGTGTGGGCCGAGTCCATCCGTCAGGCCCAGCAAACCTCCTTGCTCCTGTAGCAGCCTTGTTTCGGCTCACCCTCCCAACTGCATCCACCCCCCACCCTCCGCCCCCACACTAAGTTCAGGCCAGGGCCAGTCTTATGGTACATTCTGCCTTAGGAGTCACGTGTTTGTTCCCTGTGGGAGTGCTGAACAAGTCTCGACCTCAGTCCTTGGCAGAGCCCTTCAGCCCTACAGTCTACGGGCCAGGGCCCACTCCCAAAGCCAGAGCCTCTGGTGTGTCTCCACCCACCCTCCCGTGACCTCCGCTGCCCCGGCAAGGGGGCGGGGCCAGGCAGTACCCGCCGGCACCTCCTTCAATTGGAAAGAAAGTCGATGGTGGCGCGCACTGAGCGATTGGTGCTGACGTCGACCGCGGTAACCTTAATCTCGGTGTCGCCAAACTGCATGGCAGCACGGATCTCGCGGCGGCCCGGGGGCGTACCGGCCGGGCCACTGTCGGTGGGCGTGGGTTCGAGCTCGAGGCTGAGTGCACCACACTTGCGCACACCGGGGTCGGTGATGAAGCGCGCGTCCTCGGCGGCGCAGCAGTACAGGTTGATGAGCACGCGCCGCTGGCCAGGGCGTGCGGGGCAGTAGCTGCGGCGTACCTCTTCGCCCAGGGCCACCGACTGCTCCGCAGCTACAAAGCGCTCAAAAACATCGGTGCACCAGCGGCGGCCGTCGCGGACCAGCAGCTTGTCTGGAGGGTGCCGCCCATCCACGAAGCGGTTGAGCACACCCACGCCGTAGGTGAGAGGCGAGCGGCGCACCCGCACCACTCCCGGGGTCTGCCCGAACAGCACGGCACCCTTGAGGATTGTGAGGCCCACGTCATGCGGGACCACCACGCGCAGGCCGCGGGGACCGAGCGCGGTCTGCACCGCATGCTGCAGCACAGCCGACTCGGCAAAGCCGCCCACCAGGAACAGCAGCTTCACACCGTGCACCTCCGGCCGTGCCAGCAGCGCCTCTGCGGGATGGGGTGGAGAGGTGGGGTAAGAAGGAGGGTAGGCGAGGAGAGGGACGCATAAGCTGTTGAGGCCACGGGCACCTCCCCTCCACCTGCCTGGCAATTAGAAAATAGTCATTTCAACTATAAAACGGTTGCCGGGTTTTGATGAAAGAAAACACTGAGCGCATTCACTCAAGGGCTCCTGGTCGCGCCTGCAATGCACTCTTCCCTCCACGTGGAGGACCTGAGGGAAGGATATGCCTACTGCTTGCAAGACATTGAGCTCACCTTCTAGATACTTCAACTTATTTTATTCCCTGTGATAACAGTTTGGGGAACCCAGTACTATCACCCCACTGTAAATTGGAAAATAGGCACCAGAGATCATTTAACTTGGCAAGATTCTTCATTCCTCCTAGCTCTTACTCCCCAGTGCACTGACCCCTTCAGGCGTTCCAGATGATTCTGGGCCTCGTTCCAGTGTGTGGATGTGTGGAGGTTTCCAGGCACCAACAGAGGCAGTTATTCCTGCCCTTGGAAGTGTATGTGGGGGTAAGTGGAGGACCAAGCTCAGGTGCTCACCTATGTGCTGGATGATGCCGCTGACCGTGGGCTGAAAGAGCTCGTTCATGGCCTCACAAGACATCCTGAGCATCCCCTGTGAGGACCACTTCACGAAGTTCACGCTGCAGGGGAAGGGGGCACAGGCCCATGTATCAGTGTCCTGGGTCCCACTGTGGCTCCAGGCCCATGTGCCTGGGCACGGGCTGCATGTTGTGTGTTACCCCAGCCCCACTCCCTCAGGGGCTTTAGTCAGGGCCTGCTTCTGTTCTAGTCATGAAGTTCCAGGAGAGGGGCCTCCCGTCCCTCCTGTGTTGGCATGGTGTGTGTGTGTGTGTGTGTGTGTGTGTGTGCGCACGCGCATGCACGCACGTGTGGCTGGGGGGCAGGAGGAGATAGACATTGGCTCTTTCCCTGGGTCCACAATTCTCTTGCCCCAGCTGGGGCTGTGAATTCCAGCTGGGCTACTCATGCACCACTCCCTGCCACCAGATTGGCCACAGGTGTGCAAGCGGTGGTGCATCAGGCTGACTCCCACTGACATCAGCCCAAAGCTCCTGCTGCCAGAGCAGGCACTGAGACAGCTATACCCCCTGTAGCCCACACCCTCCCTCACGGGGACGTTCCTCATCTGCACACCCTGCCTGAGCCTGTGGTCCTCCCAGCCCACCTGCTCCTGCGTAGGGCTGTCTCCACGTTGTGGCCTCGCTGCTTGCGGTAGAAGTCGATGAAGGAAAAGGGCAGTGAGATGTTGAGCGCCCCCACACGGTGAGGGCCTGCCGTGCGTTTGCGGGCTTCGAAGGCTATGGTCAGATCCACCCAGGCTGCTGGCCGTTGCCTTTTGAATGTGGCGATGAAGTCCTCGCCGAAGATACGACCCAGCAGCTGCTCGAAGGCCAGGTCCACGCCCACAGCGCCATAGGGACCACCTTGGGTGGGGCAGGAGATGGAAGGGAAGTCAGTGCAGACCCTGCCACCAGGGGCTTTCGTGGGCTGGGTATCAAGGGCCCTGCCTGCCTACTCACCTGACGCCTTGTAGAGCTCCTTGAGGGTGCCATGGGGCTGCTCCAGCTGGTGCACAGTCAGGTCCACCGTGCCTCCCCCGCAGTCTGCCACCACGTAGCGGTCTCCTGCAGCAGTGAGCAGGGCCACACGCTTGAGGCCTGCCTTGCATCCTCAGCCCTGCGCCCCCTCCCTACCAGCCTCCAGCCCTGCCCCTGGTCTTGAGTCTTGCTTGGGGTGGCAATGTGGAGGTGTGAAAAGCTTTAGGTGCTTGAACCTAAGGCCACCAGGTAGGGGCACAAGATGTGTGTTGGGGAATGGTCCAGGGCTCTGAAACCCCTTCCACGAAGCATCCCTGGGGGAGGAGAGTGACTTAGGAGTGTTAGAGGCTGTGAGTGGGGTGGGGGTGCATGAGACTGTGAGGGGGATGCCAGGTTAGGTATAGCAGATGGAGGATTTGTAGGGGCTGGAGACAGCTTTGTGAATGTTTCCTTCCTGCTATCAGTATATGGTGTCCCATAGGGCCCAGGACACATCCCACTGGTCTCCTATCTCCCCACCTGCTTGCATCTCTGCCCACAGCTCTCCGACCCCCGACTCCACCAGGAACGTGCGGCTGTGACGGGACCTTCGCAGCTGCTCACGGGCTGGGGGTCGAAGGACACCAGGACAGCGAGGTTAGTAGGAGGTGCCTCAGCTACCACTCAGTCCTCAGCCTCCTGACAACACCCTCCGTGAGCACCTGAGGCAGCCAGTGCTCCTGAACGCCTGCTCCACTCCTGAATGGGAGAGGGCAGCGGTGACCCCCAAAGGGTCTGGAGAAAGCTCATGGGGTGATCCCATGCTCCATAACCAACAGCTGAGGGGAAGTATTTCTGGCTGCAGGACCAGAGCTCAGGTTGTGGCAAAATCAGGGTTAGGAGGGTTTTGAGGAGCCGTGTGTGTGTGCAGGTAGGTCTTGAGGGACCCAGGGGGCTCAGGACTTGGAACCTCTCCCTGTCATGGTAAACAGGGTTGACTACAGCCGTCTCAGTGCCTGGTCCCGGCAGCAGGAGCTTGGGGCTGATGTGGGGTGGGGGTAGGGGGGAGAACAGTTGATGTGCCAGGGGCGGAGGGGAGGAGACAATGGTTGTTTAGGGGGAAGCTCCTGCAGACCTCCCCTTCGGCTCAGAGTAGGGGCTGACTTCCTCCTTTGTCCAGTGCCCAAGCACCCCACCAGACTCCCACTCAGGGCTAGCCTGAGCCCTGCCCTCCTCAGACAGTGTTCCCCTAGGGAAGGGTGAAGCCCTGGGGCTTCTCCAGGTAGGGGGCCTCTCCTTCATGCAGGACATGCCTGAGCTTCTGGTCTCAGTGACCCTCTGATCCTTCGGGGGCGACTGTCTCCAAGCCCACCACTGCAGGCAGCTCACCTTGTCGGAAGCTGGAGTCGATGGAGCGGCGCTCGCCCAGGCGCCCGCTGCCCGGGGCCCGGCTACTCAGGTCCAGGAGCTGGTGCAGACGCAGCTTGCGGCAGTAGACAGAGGCGGCCTCAGGCTCCAGGGCGATGAGTAGCTGCTCTGCATTCTCTCTGGACACCAGACCAGCCTGGGGATAGGTGGTGGGCAGGGAGGGCCAGGAG